TTCGAGTATACATTAGCAGAGCTAGCAAGGTTAATATCTTTGCAAAAATCTGAAGAGATCCATAAATATTTTTGACACTAATAGTAATAGTAATATATGGGAAAAAATCGAAATATATATTAATATGCATGATTTTAAGAATCTAAACCATGTGCGGTTAATCCAATTTTAGGGGTCCCTGCATATAGTCGCACAAGACATCAAGTGACCATATTTGCATGATTTAGATGTTCTATGAACTTAGCCGAATTAGTTTGATGACATGAAACCTAGATGTTGCAAAATCTAATAAAGTAACTATTTTCGGTTTACATAGGAATCTGGTACAAAAAAAGATACCAGCCCTCAAGGGGTATCGAAATAAAGTCTAAAGTACTAGCCCCTCAAGGAATACTTTAGGTGGTTTTATTTTAAATAGATAGATATATATATGAATAAGTTATATAACTATTAAATCAAACAAATCGAATAAATAGATGTGTATAATAATTAATATATTTATGCTTCTATTTCTAAAAGTCGCTTTTGGAATCTAGACCGCAATTGACTCTTTTTACGAATTATCCAATCATATGGAATGGTATATTCCTGATACATACTAATTTCAAATTCAGCATCATAAGGATACCTATTATATTTTTTTATATACTCGGCATATTCTTTATTAAGACGTATTTTAATTTGATTTAAAGATACAGGATTTTTTATTTTACATGGAATTAATGTTAGAAATTTCTTATCATCTGGAGTATTATCATTCGGTAAGCTGTTCCATACAAGTCGCACATTTGATGGTACTCTTCCTCGGAATCGTTTCCAAGCACTTTGTATAATTCTTGCTGAAGCATCCATAGTTTTAGGTTTGGAACACTCTGTATCCCAGTGATGTTGCATCAAATCTTTGGGTTCAACAATTTCGATAAATCTTCGATAAAGATAGTCAAAAGATTTTCTAGGTTTCACATCATCAATCTTAATAAGCTTCATACAATCAAAACATATGGCCATATGGGTTTATGAATTTTAGGGCGATAGTATTCAAAATCGACTATCTTCCCTTTTCCAAATGACGCAAATAAGCAATATCTGTGATAAAAGCTTCCTTTTTTCTCAGAAATCAGCTCTTGTAAAGGAACTCTTACACGGATGGCCCATTGTTGTGGAGTTTCATTGAATCGGATTCGTGATAATGTATCATATGCTCTTTCATTCTCAAAGAAATTCTTGGGTCTTCCACTACAATACTTTGAAAAGTATGAAGTGAGGTAGTTCATATCATATCCGGGACTATTATTAATTGGTTTGGGTAATTGTCTTTTTTTATTACCGAGAATAATAGAAATATCAAAACTTGACATATTTGGCGATTATAATTTATAGAAATAAAGGATTATAAGACTTATATACGATTTTAACAAGTTTATAGTATAGAATATCACAATTCATTTTTGTTCGATATAATGATAGAACCAGGTTTATTTTTCGTGAAAAAAATAACGATTTTGTGGAATTCAGGGAATAGCGGAGCTAGTGTTTCTTGACACATAATTATTTTGTTCCACAAGACTAATTTGTGATACTGCTAAATTATTTTCTCACTATATTTATAGATTATGGAATTAATAAAGCCTTTTCCTTATTGTATATAGCTTTACC